ATTACCGCGGTTTTAAAAGCTTGTGGGACATAGCCACATTGTATGGATGCGTTTATTATATTTACGATAGGCTCAATTATCAAAGGAAGTATGTCTTTGAAGAGCCATGTCGGGACTGCGTCTAACATGCAAGTTGAGGCTTTTGAGGATGTGACCACAGAGATCACCTCTGCTTGGCTCACAGCCATGAATTTATCGAGGCCCACTGAAGAGTCTAAGTGGGAAGTCACGTATGCCGCTTCAGCCTGTCCACCACTAACAGCAGGAGCAACCTCCTCCAGCTTGTCACGGATGGATGTAATTTTATTATTAAAGTAGTGGAGAAAGTCGACACTGCTCAGTGAGCTTGGAATTTTAGGCTCGATTGCGCTATGGCAGTTTGTGAGTTTAGCGACGGTACCAAACAAAAATCTACTGTTGTTTTTATTCGCTTCTATTAAAGTTGAATAGTATTGAGTTCGAGCCCTGCGAAGGGCCTTCTTGTAGTTTCGGAGACCTGCTTTCCACTCCCTGTGGACAGGCTCCGAGTGGGAGTGGCGATATAGCCTCTCCAATTTTCTGACGTCCTGTTTTAAAGTGTGGAGTTGAACACTGTACCAGGGCGACGATGATCTAATCCTAATGGTTTTCTGTTTTAAAGGAGCTGCTGCATTTAATGCAGATTTTAAAGACTCCATAGTGTTGCCCACCGTTTGGTCAATGACTGAGGGACTGCAGCTGCTGTGAACAGGTTCACCTGCAGCAGTATTCAACATAGGCTGTATTAGTTCTTTGAACCTTGTGATAGATTTATCATTTAAGGTTCTTTTCATTATGGTTTTATCTTGCGGGACAGGAAAGTCCTCCAAAGCGAGATCAAACGTGATCAAGAAATGGTCAGACAGCAACGAGCTTTGACGCTGGATGTCAACATTGGAGACATCACAGCCGTAGGTCAGGACAAGGTCCAAGGTGTGGTTATGAATGTGAGTAGGTTCCTCGACATTCTGAGTAAAACCAACACCATCTAGTACGGCGCTGAAAGCTTTGTTTAAGCTGTCAGTGCTGTCGTCCACATGTATATTGAAGTCTCCAGCTATAACTATGTTTTCCCATTCCAAAACTAGGTTTGAAATGAAGTCAGAGAATTCTGTTAGGAACTCGCTGTAAGGACCAGGAGGTCGGTATAAAACTATAAATAGTACTGCTTTTTGTTTTCTCCACCCAGGACAGGTGATTGAAAGTGTTAAGTTTTCAAACGAGTGAAAAGCGTTGTTGGTTTTGGGACTAAGAACCAAGTTGGTGTGTGATATAATCGCAACACCAGCGCCGCGACCTGTAGTTCTGGCTTTCTGGTAGTTAACATGCGTCGGAGGAGTGCACTCATTCAATCTAACGTAGTCGTCCTGTTGGAGCCAAGTCTCCGAGAGCGCTAACAGATCCAAGCCCTTGTCTATAATAAGTTCGTTTATGAGAAGCGATTTAGACGAGATTGATCTGACGTTCATTAAACCAGATTTAACAACCCTACTGTTAGAACTATTTCTGTCTGTCTGAACTTTTATTAAGTTACTGTGTCTGACACCCAGGTCAGATTTCCTCATATAGTGCTTTAGACTTCAAGCGGGGAACACACACAGTTTCAATCTGACTAGGTTCTGAGGCTAGTAACTGAGCACACACATGCACACACAGTTTCAATCTGACTAGGTTCTGAGGCTAGTAACTGAACAGACACAGGCACACACACACATGCACACACAGTTTCAATCTGACTAGCTTCTGAGGCTAGTAACTGAACAGATGGGGGCTCAGAGGTTGTGGCAGAGCAGCTCTGCACCCGGGCCTCAGTTCTGCATCGTCATTTGAGCCGAGCAGAACAGTTTAGAGCCAGGGCCAAATTCTTAGCCAAAAGGGATGTACCCGCCAACGTTGGGTGGATATCATCCGAGCGGATGAGACCGGGCTTTCCCCAAAAGGCACTCCAATTGTCAACATGAACAACACCACTTGGAGGGCACCAGCCAGACAGCCAGCGGTTGAAAGCCGAGTGTCTGCTGAATGCTTCTGCACTGCTAGTGCTAGGTAGGGGCCCAGAGAAGATGACAGTGTTGGCCATTGTGCTAGCCAGCTTGCACACCGCGGCGACTTGCAGCTTCAACACCTCGGACTGTTTCCGCCGAACGTCATTACCACCCGCGTGAATAACAATTCGACGGAAACGCTGCTTGTGGGTCATCATGAGCCTCAGATTCCCTTCAATATCACCAAGCCTGGCCCCAGGGAAGCACCGAACAGTGGCTCCTGGGATCTTAACACCTCTAACAATAGAGGAGCCAATTACCAGCGCATCAGCGACTCCATCGGCTCTCTCAGCGGCTCTCTCAGCAGCTCTCTCAGTGGCTCTCTCAGCGGCTCTCTCAGCAGCTCTCTCAGCAGCTCTCTCAGCGGCTCTCTCAGCGGCTCTCTCAGCGGCTCTCTCAGCGGCTCTCTCAGCGGCTCTCTCAGCGGCTCTCTCAGCGGCTCTCTCAGCGGCTCTCCCAGCGGCTCTCTCAGCGGCTCTCTCAGCGGCTCTCTCAGCGGCTCTCTCAGCGGCTCTCTCAGCGGCTCTCTCAGCGGCTCTCTCAGCAGCTCTCCCAGCGGCTCTCTCAGCGGCTCTCCCAGCGGCTCTCCCAGCGGCTCTCTCAGCAGCTCTCCCAGCAGCTCTCTCAGCGGCTCTCCCAGCGGCTCTCTCAGCAGCTCTCCCAGCAGCTCTCTCAGTGGCTCTCTCAGCAGCTCTCCCAGCAGCTCTCTCAGCGGCTCTCTCAGCGACTCCATCGGCTCTCTCAGCAGCTCTCTCAGCGGCTCTCTCAGCGACTCCATCGGCTCTCTCAGCAGCTCTCTCAGCAGCTCTCTCAGCGGCTCTCTCAGCAGCTCTCTCAGCGGCTCTCTCAGCGGCTCTCTCAGTGGGGCCTTCTTCCCCGACAGAGCGTCCCAGCGATTGTAAATGCTAACAGGAGGAGGCCCAATGGGGAAACTACCAACAACACGTGGCCCTCTCCGAACAGTCACAAAGCCATCACTATCCTGGTCTTGTCCCAGCTGCGGAGGACGGGCTGGGAGGCTAGGCTCGCTAGTTCTCCTCTGCCTTTCCCTAAAGCTGCGCTCCGCTGTCCCTGAGGATACGGCCTGGCTGTAGCTAATGCTAGCGCTAGCTCGAGACTCCAGTGCTCGGAGACGCAGCTCTAACTCACTGACCCTGGATTCCAGAGCTACGACTACACTACACTTCACACATCTATCACTACCCTCAGGGAAGGATCCAGGGTTTAGACTCGCCATATGGCAACTCGAGCAGTAAAGGATTGAGGGGGAGACAGCAGCCGCCATAGGAGTAGCGAGTTAGCGGCTAGGCTAGGCTAAGCTAGGCTAGGCTAAGCTAGTACGGATCCGGGCCCGCACAACAGACTCCGAGACCAGACAAACAACCGCTACCTAAACCTCAGCTGCAGTACAGCTGACTCGGAGTGCTTACACAGTTAGCTTGGTGTACAATACGTGGATTTGTAATGTGTTTGTGCAAACAGAGAGCAGAGTGATAGCAGTCAAGAAACACGCTCACCGGATACAGGAAGTCACATGTCATGTCTACAATTACACAATTACACAATTACACAATTACACATTTACACAATTACACAATTACACATTTACACAATGGATACAAAGGACAAAGGTTTATTTGATGGAACGATTGACAGCACAACTGCAACTAAAGAAGTCCTCTGATTACCTTTCTTAATTAGGACGTAAACCTAGGCCTTCATTTATTTATATTTTTTTTTATGAGTGAATGATTTATTAAGCCCAGTCTCAGGACAATGTTAATGTTCTGTTTTTTGTGTGTAATCAAAATAAAGTTAGAAAAAAATAATACACAAAACTATAAAAGAAATTCTCACTTTTGATCTACTGTAACTTTTTACTGTAAAAAGGTGTGCGACTAATTTCACTGGATTCATGACCTCATGATTGTCCTCTACCAGAGCTGTATTTGCAGCGCCGGCAGGTGCAGGCTGCCCTTTGTCACCGCTTCTGTTCACTGTATTCATGGACAGAATATCTAGGCGCAGCCAGGGGTCGGAGGGGGTCCGGTTCAGGGACCACAGGATTTAATCTCTGCTGTTTGCAGACGATGTTGTCCTGTTGGCTCCAACGAACCAGGACCTGCAGCATGCACTGGGGCGGTTTGCAGCCGAGTGTGAAGCGGCTGGGATGAGAATCAGCACCTCCAAATCCGAGGCCATGGTGCTCGACCGGAAAAAGGTGCCTTGCCCTCTCCAGGTGGGTAAGTAAGTAATGATTTTTTATATAAAAAAAGATATTTATATAGCGCAAAAAAACGCATCTGCGCATGCGTCAGCCAGCACAAGCTCCATTCATTTGAACGAGAGTAAAGTAGAGTAAAGTAGAGTAAAGTAGAGTGGTCCAAAAAAATCCACCCCCCTCAGCATTGACACACATGTGGAACGGAGCTTTGGGCCAAGAGACAACTTTTGGACCTTCCTTTTCGAGAGGTCTGCCAATGCTATATGTTAGCATTGGCTAATTCTTATTCCAGGTCCACCCCCACAGGCCCGGGGTGGTATTGCAGCATGTCAGCTCATCATTTTGGCCACTTTTGAGCCGGGACCCACTCCCACTGATCAGCCCCCAATCTTCACCATCCATTCACTCTCTCATTTACATTAATACCTATTGTGCATGTTTTTAGCGGTAGGGGAAACCGGAGAACCCGGAGGAAACCTATGCAGACACGGGGAACATGCAAACTCCACTCAGTAAGGCCCTGTTCCGACTGGGATTCGAACCCAGGACCTTCTTGCTGAGAAGCGAGAGTGCTATCCACTCAGCCACTGTGCCGCCAAAGTGGAGAGGTCCTTCCTCACGTGGAGGAGTTCAAGTATCTCGGGGTCTTGTTCACGACTGAGGGAAGGATGGAGCGTGAGATTGACAGGTGGATCGGTGCAGCGTGCGCAGTG